ATTTTGCAGCAACATTAGTCATCTAAAAATACGATCATACATGGTACGAGTACCAACAAAAAATCCATAGTAGTTATATCAATTAATAATTTTCGTTTTAGATATTTATCTACAACACGAAAACATTCTTATAATCAAATATTCCTTAGCACTATCACTATGAGGAACAATTATTCGCATAACCATAATACTTAATCTGTTCGATCTCTCCCAAACTTTATGAAGAATCTTTTCTTCCTCGCTGTTTTTATCAGTAATAACAGTAAGTTTCTCAATTTAAAATGTTAAATTAAGATTTAACACATCTAAATTTTGAACTCAACTTACTCATTTCATTATGAGAAGTTAGTCATATTGAGAATCAGAACAGATGTAGCAAGCACATTAAGGGATGTAATAAAACAAATATAATAGGATAAAATCTTAACAATAATAATGCTTTGAATTAACAACACGTATGTATAACTTAAAAATATAAATACAATGTATAACTATAGTACCCATTTAGGTGGCAACTATAAGATACTAATAATGACGCTTATATGTATTTATATGTATACCTTTATTGGTGATGTATTATTTAATTAAACAAATAAGTTACCTTTGGATATCCTATATTTACCTAATTAAAAAAAAATACATACGACCCTTTAATTTTTATTTAATTACTTGAAAATCAATTCCCTTTGAGGAATTATTTCTCATAATTAAATAAAATCAATATTCATGAATATCACAAAAAATTATTAGCATCATAATTCATGAAATATTGCAATTATGTTTACTACTAAAATTAATATTCATCAACTATTATGGTTAGGCCACTTTGGTAGCTACCAACCTTTACATAATATGAATATTAAATTAGATAGTAACTAATTTATGATTAATTATGTCTATTACAAAAATTAATATTCATCAATCATTATGATTGGGCCACTTTAGTAGCTACCAATCTTCACATAATATGAATATTAAATTAGACAATAATTAATTCATCATTAAGTTATATTTACTACTAAAATTAATATTCATCGACCATTATGGTTAGGCCACTTTGGTAGCTACTAACCCACACATAATATGAATATTAAATTAATTAGTAATTAATTAATTATTAATTTACTCATTTAACATTATACACACATACTCATAATTGTCGATTAAAGTTTAAGCAACTTCGATCTCAAAAACTTAATAGTCCGAAATTTCATAGAAAATATCTTCTTATTTTATATACATAATAAAATATATTATTTTATTTTCGGACTTAAAGATCATAATTGATTCAATTTAAAATTGATTTTACAATATGTATGTATGTTTGGGTACGAAACAACAAGTTATTTGCATATCTAATTTATTAGATTAAATTTCTAAACTCACAAATTATTCTAGAAATTCAAATTCTTAAAATAAATAAATCAATAAATATATTTTATGTATTCAATAACTTTAATTTTAATTTATTTTAAATTAAAATCAGAATCTTCAAATCATTGGACAAATACTTATAACAATAATTTAAACCTCTTTAATAAAATAAATAAATACACAAACTTTATGTATTTATTAATTTTTAAATAATAATAATAATGAGTCTTTGTAATCCTTTCACAACTGACTGTTTCTATAAAACAATAGCAGGACAAATGCTATTATTATTATTATTATTATTATTATAATTCAATGTTCTTTATTAGTCATGCACGAAAATCAGCAACCTAAAGCATTGAAGTTGTTTGTCTTACACACATTATGCATACGTTTGTACTATTACACATATGTAAACTATGTATCAGTAATCAACTTTCATAATTCAATTTTAGCTCGGAAATTGAGGTACCCAAACCCAAAAACCACACGGACTGATCTAAACATACGATTCTAAAAGGGTGGATTATACAATCATTTAATTTTAAATTTATACATATTATTTATGCAACTTTAATGAAAAATAATGAGTTCCTAAACCGTTAACTTTGATACCACATGTAAACTATAATTATTCGTATTAAACCATTCATCACAAATAAACATGAATTCTATAGTCTTAGAACTTCATGATTTTCACATATCTATAATGCATAAATAAATAGTTAGATATAAATACCTCGATTCATGATATCAAACCTTGTTGAGATTAAATCCAACTTTTAGATCATTTAATCACGAACTAATCTGCAATTCTAATCAACAGGTAAAGGTGGAAACTGGTTTCTCTCTCTTGACCTTTTGCACACATAAAACTTTTACGTATTGTATCATTAATTGTACATAATTGATGGAATATATGCACTTTTATAAAGGTAGAGGGAGGATCAGTTTTCCTTATAGCAACATAATTTTACTTTCCATCAAAGTAAGGAATAAGAAAGGAAAACACTTCTCCAATAAGTAATTACCAAAAAGGTAATTATAAGTTGACCAAAAATAAATAATATTAATTGATATCTATTTACTTACCCACCAAGTAATATGTCACATGTCCAAATCATGTGGGCCACAATTAAATAAATAATCTTACAACTCTAACATGCCTTCCAATAGAATCCCTTAGGTAAGAAAACAGGGCAAATATAATCCAGGCGAATACATTGTATATGTGGATGTAGCAGAGCAATTCTATAATACTCCAAATAATTTTAGAAAGAGAAAGAGGATGCTGCAGAGATAATCTTAGGGAGAGAATTTGAGAGAGCGAGAATTTGGGATCATGTAAGAGAATTTTAGAAAGGAAAAAGAGGTGAATTTAAGTTAAATAGAGAGTGCGAAACTAGGTTTCTTATCAGGGACAGATCTAGGAATTCATTTAGGGGGGCAAATTTATATAGAGAGGTTTTTTTTCATAATTTCAATGGGGCAATTTCAAATTTTTATGGGTATAAATACAAAAAAGTATAATTTTAGGCGTATAAAATGTAAAAATAAAAAAATCTCATGCCTGTTTTTTTATATAATGGGTGAGACATGGGTCAAAATGGGTGACCCATATTTAACCCGTTTAACTCTCTATAAAAATGAGTTAAATATGGGTCACTCATTTTGACCCATATTTTAAAATGATTCACCCATATCCATTTTAAAGCGAGCAAATATGAACGAATTAGTGAATCATGACCTATTTTCTCACCCCCTAGTTGAAAGAATAGCCATCTGCTTCCTATGTTCCAACTTTAGCAAGGAATGACAATATCAGGAGACTGGACCGTTGGTTTGCTATACATAATACAATGCCATATACAGTATACACATACCTGCACAAGTGTGTATATAAATGGTAAGAAGAGGAAGACTGGTAGATGTGACGATGATCTGATCTGCACTTAATTCATCGGAATTGAATGGCATGAATGATGGGTTGGTTCTTGTGCATTTGGCGCGAAGTGAATTAAGCTTAAAGATGGAATGATTAATGGGTCATTGGGTCTTTTATATACACTACACATGGATTCAACTTGGGCTAGCTAATTTAATTCCACCCTGAATTTGGCATGACCCAATTCCCAGGTTTAAAGATTAAATGGTGATGTATAGCACTTACTTACAATACAGTAGGGGTGGTGTATACTGTCATGTTAATGAAGTGGAGACAATATTAAGGCCTACCCACATTTAGGACATAATCTACTCCACACATCAAACTTAATGGATGAAACTTGAAGATGGTGCCCACATACAATTCATGAATGAAACCCAGAGGTGGCACCTCCACCTAATAGTAAGACACCACTCACATGTACACAGTCCCTATAAATTTTGGCCCAATTACAACAAAAGGACACTTGGCCTACCAGAAGTAAGAATCGCCATTACTTTGGAAGCGAATACAACAACAACTGCAATCCAATCCTGTCCAACTGTTTGCACATTACAATATGTACATGTAAAATATATATATATTTATATATATAGTTAGTAAGTACATTACAACATATTGCATTAACATTTATGTGATTCGCTATAAAAACAAAGCATTAATGCATCACTTATTGGTCTATCAGTAGATTAAATTCTAAAGTATTTTACAAAGCATACTTTGTGTAAAATAATGTTAATATTATGACTTTATTGTCATATCTTTTAGCACGTTGTGTTGACAAAATCGACACGGAATAATAATTCTTTAGAAAAATCTATAATCAACGGCATTGCAAAATAGACTAGGAGATAAAATGATGTACAGTGATGAATCTCACACACTCCCCTCTCTCAACGAGCATGGCCTGAAACAGTCATTAATGATTTACTTGTGGCCAGCATTAAATTACTTCTTGGCAGGACTTCCACATATAAGTGTGGTATGGCAGGACTTCCACATACAGTGTGGTATATAGTGTGGTAGTTGAAAGGGGACATAAGAAACCCTTTCTAATGAGTTGTTCTTTTAATGGTAAATTTGGGTTGGGGGATGGCCATGGAAGCTTAGCTGCCATCCAATAGAAAGAAAAGGTTGATAATTACATGCGCCTGCTTCATTCAAATCATTACCTCAACCTTTAAGTTCTTATCATTCACATTGCATGCCACTCTAACCAGTTGCAATCAATAATGTTAAAAGGCACTCAAAACCCTTTCGCAATCATTCATATGGAGATAAAATTCCATACCAAACACAAATTTGATTTGCTTAATTGGGTTAGTTAAAGACAAGTTAACCACATGATAAACAGTTTCAACACTGGAATTAATAATGCCTGGTTCACCCAATCTTGTGCTTTTGGTCTCCTCATTCTTGGAAGCAAACACTAAACAGTAATATTTTGTCATATGCAGTGTAATCATACACACACTTTTAATTCAATGGTAATATATGTTTTTTTATCAAATCTTTTGAGTTGAGTCTCAATTAATCAACAGTTTCCACCTTGAACACAAAAATCGGTGAAAAGTCAATATCCGTACCAAAAAGGCTGTATTACACTAATAAAGGTAAAGCGAAGCCCAAAAATATATCTACAAAATAAATAAATCAATAAAGTAAATATATATAAACAGAATAGGGTAGAGTAGAGCAGAGCACATTGAAAACCAATTAACCCCACACCATCTTCTTTCTCTCTTTCAATGCTGCAAACCTTATTTGGACATCCTTACAAGAAAAAGTGATCAAATAGGAATCTTGATTCCTAACCTCAAAAATGGAGAAAATCTGTCTACTGGCTTTTCTCATTTTCCAAATAATTGCAGCTGAAGCTGACATCAGTGTGGGTGGTGGTGTTGGTGTTAATATTGGCACTGGTGGTGGTGGTGGTGGTGGTGTGTGGATTGGTGGAGGGATCAATGGGCAACCCCCATCTGGGGGGTCTTCAGTTTCAAAGCTGAACAAGGCTTACACTGCTCTCCAGGCATGGAAATCTGCAATCACAGATGACCCATTGGGGATTTTGAACACTTGGGTTGGCTCAAATGTGTGTGCTTACAAGGGTGTGTTTTGTGCAGATTCTCTAGATTCTGATCAAACTGATGTGGTTGAGTACCCAACAGGGACAGTTGTTGCAGGCATAGATCTCAACCATGCCAATCTTCAAGGCATTCTTGTGAAAGAACTCTCTCTCCTCACAGATATGTCTCTCCTTCACCTCAACAGCAATAGATTCACAGGCAGTGTGCCTGACACTTTGAAAGACCTCTCTTCTCTCACCGAGTTAGACCTCAGTAACAACCAGTTCTCTGGTCCATTTCCAACTACAACTCTTTTTATCCCTAACCTTATTTATTTGGACCTCAGATTCAACAAATTCACAGGACCCATTCCTGAAGATCTGTTTGACAAGAAATTAGATGCAATCCTTATCAATAATAATCAGTTTGATGGTGAAATTCCTCCAAATTTAGGGAATTCCCCAGCTTCTGTCATCAATCTAGCCAACAACCAATTAAATGGTGAAATCCCATTTAGTTTTGGGTACATGGGTCCAAGACTGAAGGAGATTCTGTTCCTCAATAACCAGCTGACAGGTTGCATTCCAGAGGGAGTTGGGTTGTGGCAAGATTTGCAAGTGTTTGATGTGAGCTTCAATTCACTGATGGGTCATTTGCCAGACTCAATCTCTTGTTTGGGTGACATTCAAGTTCTCAATTTCGCACACAACAAGCTATCGGGTGTGTTGCCGGACTTGGTTTGTTCGCTTAGAAGCCTTGTGAACTTGACAGTTTCTTACAATTTCTTTTCTGGCTTCAGCCAAGAATGTAGCAAGCTCTACTTTAGGAATGTGGGTTTTGATTTCTCTTTGAATTGCATTCCCGGTGGAAACATGCAGAGGCCTCAACCAGAGTGTTCTGTCATCCCTGGAGGTAGCTTGAATTGTCTTAGAATTCCTGCAACAAAGCCTCTTGTTTGTGGGGGATTGGTCTCAAACCAAAAGACTAGTCCTAGTCCATCATCATCTCCTTGAGAGAGAAAGAGAAACAAGAGAGAGAAACAGTACAGTAGTAACCAATGTTGTAAAACAGGTTGGTGATGGCTGTGTCTCATTAACTCAGATATTATTATTCATAGCTTCCAAATTTATTTCTTCATGAAATGAGTACATTTATTAATTATTATATATCTCTGAGTGTGTTGTATGGATAAGACATGTGCAGAGAGTAGTAATAGAGATTGATTTATTAGTCAGCCTGCTTTAAATTTTTAATGACCTCTTTGGTGCAGCAATAACTTTATCTTTATGAACCTTGCCTGCTAATAAAAATTGTCACATGTGAACAGTGACAACTTAGCCCATTCCCCAATAAAGAAATTAAGCCACTGTTGCGAATGAGATCCTTTAGAGCCACCATTATGCCGCCTTGTTCATCAGTCACAGACAAGTTTCCCAAAACTGGAAATGATTCATGTGCTGATATGCAGACAATGCTATCAAGGCATGTGACTAAGTAAATCTTGACAAAAAAATAAAAAAATAAAAAAAGTGGAATGGTGTGTTGGCATTGTCACATCCTAATACAAGAACATTTCTAGCCCAACATCACAATAGCCTTAAGATCATCTTGAGATTACAAGACATCTTTCTGTCCATTCTGTGTCGTTTATGTGTGAGCAAAACAGTAGAAAACCTCTAAAAGTAAACATAACATGAATAAGCCAAGAAAATTGTTCAAAAGAAAAATGGTTAGATACAGAGAGGCTGCTCATATTAAATGTAAGCAATAATTTACAACATTATCAGGAGATACAATTGCCAAATTTTGAATTCCTCCTTTAAATTACAAAATACATAAAATTATTAGGCAATGTAATACATTGGATTCGGGAGTTTAAAAGACCGTGTGGCTACTGCAAAGCCCAACAAGTCACTCCATTGATCCCCTGAGCTCCCGTGAATCATAAAACCTTCATCTTCTAACTCCTTTCTCTTCTCAGATTTGTAGATGCTGGCTGGTTTGCCTGTATCTGAAGGCCCCCTTTTTGATCCAATAAAAATCAACCATTAGTAACTAAATGATGTTGAACCAATGTTTTGATGAAATGGCTTCTTTCTTCATCTTTTTATTTTTTTATTTTTTTTATTTTATATAATTGAATTTACAATAATCCAATGGCCACAAGAATTCAATAATCAAAGTAAAAGGAAGTAAACAGAATCCCAAATTTGCTTAGATACCTCAAAATAAGTTTCTCCCAATTGCTGTAACCAGCATAAACAAGATTTTTCTGTGTGGCATTTCTTTGATGCTCATCCCTTCCGGTTAACAGAAATATCTTAACTCCCAGCTGTTCGAGCTCCCTGTACAACCTCAAACTTGCTGGTAAGGCAGGGGCCTCAGCCAAATACACCCAATCATTGAAAGAGTCTTCATCAAATGTCTCCGACCTATGTCCAAAAACATATTTTCTTACTTAACAACTTAAATTCAAAGCGTGATACCAAAAACTGAAACCATCATATCTAACTAGAAAGTAGGTAGTTCCATCAGATAAATATACAACCCAACGAATAAGACATGATGCCAATATCCGTCATATAAAACTCATTGTAGTGCTACAAAATCATTTAGTTGTGGCACATTGGCTTATGCCAATTGTGCTGGAGGGTCGTTTTGGTCCAACATGGGGATCAACAGTGAGGATGAAGAAGAAGAGGAAGCTGGGTTTTACTTCTCCTAAAGCAAAAGGGGAGCCACTGTTAGAAGAGGGCTTATGAGAATAAGGTGGGGATGACATCGACATAGATACAACTAAGCTCTTATACGCTTTGTTAAAAATAAGTCACCTAAATACTCACACAACTTGAAAATTTAGAAAAGAAGTAGATGGAGGAATACTTGAAAATATTTTAATCCATTTATAGTATCCAATTTTGATTCACTTATCAAATTGGCTGGACCATATGAATATATAGGCCTCAAACATATGTAACAATTTCCTATAACTCTCACTAATATGACCTTTAGTAGACTTAAAAAGACTTCTAAGCCTATAGTTCTTGATTTTATATAACTTTTATTTTAATTATAAGCCCCACTTAAACAATTAAATAAATGCATGCTGGAAGTGGGTAGATTTAATTGTTCTTGAAAATAAATTTAATTGTGTTAAGTTTGGCCATGGACCAGTGCACTGCAGAGGATCTGACTACAACCTTGATGATGGTACAAAAAAAAGTGTTTATACTTTATAGTGACAAAAGATTTTGGTGAACTTGTGGCCAGTTTATGATTGTATGGTCCTATTCCATAGTGATTGTACACGACATAAATTATAAAGGGTTCGCAACAGCGACCTAAACTTTTATTCAACATATCTAACGGTTAGAAATCGTCCGACTTACCCAAACCCGTGGACCACGTAGTACGGCACATTGGACAGCAACGTCTCATCAATGTCGAATACCCAAGCGTCCTTGCCGTTACCGGCGATCTCCACTGTATTTGCGAACACCAACGAGTTGTCGGCGACGATCTCAGAATCAGACAGGTACCGTTCGCCGGTCATATACTCCTGCACGTATCCGAGACACCTCGCCGGAATCTGACTCCATAGCCCGGCATCATTAGTCTCGACGGAGAATCTCCAGCTTTCGCAATACAAACTATCGTCTCTCCGAATCCTCGGGCCTCCGGATATCGAATCGGAGGCGACCAAGTTTTGATTTTCCGGCCTGATTTGGATGACGGATTGAGAAAGAGATCTGGTGGCGAGGCTTAATATCAACAATACGACGGCGTACCGATCGGAGTCCATCGCCGGAAAACCAAAAGTTCCCATCCGCATAAGATGGAGCTTTTCCGGTATTCTGGCCTGAGAAGATGAGACGCGCAACCAGGAGAGAAGTTTCGATTTGACGCCTATTTATGTCCTTTGTGGCGCAGGCTCGAGATGCCATTGGGCTAAGAAACTTGTTACCCTCTCAAATTAAGCGTCCATAAACAAATTAATAAAATTAATGGAGGATGACTCTGCAAATTATATACTACAAACAAATAATATAAAAAAAAAAAAAAATTTCCTTAGTTTTGGTATCAATCATTCTAATTCAAAGGCGTGTGGTCCTACGTTATAATTATAAATATTTGTTTTATTTTAACATGCTGAAGTTAATATGTCCGTAATAATAGATGCGATGTTACTGCCAAAATATTTAATTAGATCTAGGAAGATTTTGTTCTAAACAAATTCACTATGTGTCTAGACATTATAATCGAGAAATAATATTAGCATTCTAAAGAAAGGTTTCTGCATGGCACTTCTTTAAAATTTTAATTTCAATACGTGGAATGCCAAAATCACGTCCCATGACCATGAGTACTAAAATAATGACGAAGTTAATTGCCCAAATGATAATAATGAAGTTTTGTTATTAATGAAAGAATTACAGAGTATTATTTTCTTGTAATAAGTATGAAATACAATCTGTTTTGTTCCTCAAAATCCTTCCCCTTTCACTTAGCATCAAATTCGGTAAACACATACAGGGAGTAACAACATTTAACATGAGCCTATATAATAAATTATGAATAACACTTCCACATTTAACATGAGTCTATATAATAAATTATGAATAACACTTCCATCCAGTGCAGTGCAGGAAAGGTGATCTTCATCTCTCCAATGAGGTGGCTCAATAAAATTATAATAAGTGTCTAAAAATAAATATAAAATTAAATCGGATATTGCCCATTTATTTTCGGATATAACCCATCTGTTTTTTTTTTTTTTTTTTTCCTTCTCCTCTGGTCCGCCGTCTGCACCTTCTTCCTCCTCCCCACCACTGACGTTTGGACTACCGTGGCCGACAACATCACTCTGGCCTCGCCGACATTGAAACTCCAACCTCCTTGATCGACCTTTCCACAATCAGCTGCAGCAGTAACACCACCACCGAAGGGCGGTAACATCACCACCACCGACGGCAGAGGCAGCAGCACCAGTCCTATTCCTCCCCACGAAATTTATATGCTAATCCACTGTAACAAATAATCGAAACCCAACATCTCTTCTTCACACCCAACACTTCCAAGCCTTTTCAATGCCCTAAATTACATAACCCTTTGATCAAAAAAAATTACGGAACCCAAATCCTTCGAAACCTTAGAAAAACACCATCCCAACTCCCTCTCAATCTCAACATCTTCCTATTATTCCTCCTCATCCTTCTGTCCCACTGCCGTTGTCTTCGTCGCCCCCTCAATCTCAATCCCAATCCAATCACTGACGCCAAATCCACTTCTCTATCGGATTCGAAACTCCAAATGGCCGGAAGTGAAGACGGAAGAGAAACAAGAAAAAAATAAAAAATATATATATACAAATGGGTTATACCCGAAAATAGATGGATAATGTCTAAATTGATTTTATATTTATTTTTAGACACTTGTTTTAATTTCATTGAGCCACGTCAATGAGAGGATGAACATCCTGCCAGCGCAAAATGAAAATATTATTCACAAATTGAAGTGGTTACTATGATCATGTCGTAAAGCTGCTTCATAAGTAGTTATTTCGATTTTCGAGGTTCATAATTATTTGTCCCTTGGCAAATTCCCTGGCATTTTTTTTTTGGACAACCTTACATTCCGCCCCAGAAAGACCAAATTCAACAGCTGAATAACATGTGGCAACCTAGTTAATTGTACTTGCCAGTCAGAATAAAAGAACATGCAATTATAAGAATTCAAACTTTGTTTAGGCTGTATTATTGCACTCTTAAAATTAAAGAAAATTTTAATTTAATTTTATAAATTACTGTTTTTTTTAATTTTAAAATTTTAATTTCATACCTATCAAACATAATCTTAGTAATATTTCAAAGCAAAAAATCAGGAAATAATAGGCAAAAAGTGATCATGCAATAAGATACATACAACAAACAAATTTTTTTTTTTTTTCATTCTATGTACAGTTTCAATCTGTAACTTGGAGCAAAATAAAAAATAAAAAAATAAATCCCCGATCATGTACTCCTTGACATAGCCCAAACTAACTAAGGAATCCAATCGGGCAAAAGAATACAAGTCAAACAAGATCGGCTTCAGAAACCAAAGCGTAGGTCACTCTCTCTCTCTTATGGGATATAAAGCATCTAATATATTCTTTAAGAAATTTGGACAAAAATTAAAATAAGGGTGAAGTAATTGGGAAAAAAAAACATGCATGCTCAAACCTGAAGTGGTTTTTACTTGGGTATCATCGCATACGAAGAGAAAGTGTTAATAATGTGTTTTAAGAGGACAGTTGTTGGCTATGGGAAAACTCCTTCCCAAGTTTATGGGTGAAAAGACGACAAGCATCCATACTAAGATCAATGGCGGCTGAAAGGGCGACAAAGAGGGCAGCATCCGCCATGCAAGTGACATGCTGCAACCCTACTTGAACCACAGGCTTGCTGACCTTTCCTTCACCCTCCACGGTTGATGCCATCACAAATCCTTTAATTGGACACAGTGAACTCAAGGCAGAATCCCTTGAAGTACTATCAATGCAGAATTGTCCACCCTTCTTCATGCTCATGGTGCCCTCAGCAATGGGAATTCCACTACTCAGTCCATCGTCTGTAATGATCTCGAATTTGTAACCCAAACCATCAATTGATCCCCTCTCACGCCATGCCTCAAGACGACCCCAGGGCTTCCAGCTACTCACACAGACACCATGAGGACGGAGGATGAGCCATGCACCAGGGTTTGAGCGAGATACGCGGTCTGAGCCTGGGGAGGGTACAAATGGAGTGATCATGGAGGCAGCTGCTACAGACGAGCCTGAGAGATCATAGATCATCACCATCCACCCCTTTCTCTCCCTTCCCGCCTTTTCTCTCTCGCAATACAATGTTCTCATCCATCCTCTGTTGTTTATGCTTGTAAAATCTGATGGGAGACAACTGCTTTTACACAAAACCAATTTCCAAACACCAAAATCACATCAACAACACCATTAACTAAATAAAAATAATTTAACTAATAAATCAAAGCACCAAAAGGTCAAACAAGAACATCAACACATAAATGCAAAGTATAAATTAATTTGCAATCAAATATGTACGTGCACATGGAGGGGAATCAATGGTGGTTGTGAATGACAGTTTGGGGGTTTGATATTGTCTCTTTGACCAAACGTGGTATATATGCATGATTGGAAATCTTCAATTCATCACTAAAATAAGATTTCACATCTTATATATATATATATATGATAAAACTTGTTTGCTACAAAACCATTTGTTAAAACAGAAAGAGAAGGTACGTCATGAGTGATATTGTATATGTATCCAAGGATATTGAAGTTGAGATTCCAACTCCTTTTGTTTTTTTCCTTGGAAGAACCAAAATAGATCACATGGTAACAGGACAAAAATTAATTATAGGAGTTGAGTTATAAATAAATATAAGACCAGTTAATAGTTAATAACTTAAAATTATGCATGTCAGAAATTCATAGGAAAATTCAGTTTTATCAATGCTGAGTATTAGGAAAAATTGTTAAGAATCCCATATTAGCAACCAAAAATGCAGGATAACAGAGAAACAATATCTAAAAACTTCATGAACTTTCCATGAGTAATGATATATTAAAGGGTCAAAATGTGTAGAATGCTGCTCAATTTGTTTCTATGTTTTACACCATAACTATCTATACTTTTCATGTAAAAATTTTATGCATGAAACAATGAAAGTACTATTTTGCCAAGTTGAATCTGGTAAAATAATTTAAGAATTATTAAAATATATTTCATGATAGACAATTATACAATCATGTATGTCAAAGAGATCATAAGCATTTTATATTTAGCATACATATATGTCACAATAAAAATTACAGAAAGTTTTACAAATTACTAGCATATATGGAATATATATTTCAATGAGTCCCAAATGTATATTTGGAAAATGACTTGCGGAAAAATAAGAAAAATAAAAAATAAATTACTATCATTCTAATGTTTTACATGTGACTTCAATGTTTCCCAAAGAATTTTTTGTAGCTAATTGATATTGTAAACATTTTTAAAGAAATGTTCAAAAAGAACGAGGACTTGAAATTTATATTAAATTACGTAAAAGTCTCAAAATTATAGTAATTTTAATATTTGTATTTAAATTACAAAAATGAATTAGTAAAATATCAAAGGGCATCTAGCTTAAGTAGTAAGAAAGAAGATAGAAATTCGAGTTCCAATGCGAACAAAAATTCATGAAAGCACCCTCCTGAATTTGCTCTATTGGACAATAACAGTGACCCTCATGGAGGGACTACCTTTTTTCCTCTAATTAATGACTATGATTGTGGAGTGTCCTCCAAGAAACAAACCAAAAGCGCAGCTGCTATAAGGAAAGGAATTGAAACAGATCAAAGGTTAAATAGCTGGTGGCCAACTTGACATGTGAAAATAGTGTGACCAGCTAAAGAAATTGACAACCCATATGCGTACTTTAGCGGAAACCACACCAATGCACTGGGCCCCATGAATTAACAACCTAGAGAGAGACTAGTGCATGTTAGCCCTAGAGAGGACAAATCACTAAAAAGCGCCGGAAAGCAAGGAAATCATTAAAATTAACTTACCGTGATCTGGCGTTGCGATCGGCGCTGAACTTGCAGCTGAAAACAGGCTGCCGGATGTTCTCCTGAATCTGGAAAACCACAGGACTGCACTCCGGTTCGCCTCCGAACTGGAAAACAAACCGGGGGTCCGGTTCAGCCCGAACCGTCAAGTGCAAACGAGCCGCAGGTTTGGCCGGTTCATTCCCAAGCTTCATCCAACCGTTTTGAAACACAGAGGCTCTCGACTCGGCTCCTTCGAGGTTAATGCTGATGTTGACTCGGCCCAGTAGCTTCCCAGAGGTGACCCCGCACGTACGACCCATGCGGCCCGTGTATACAGACACGCGTAAGGCAATGGACTTCCCGGAGAGGCGGCGAAGGGTGGCTGAGTCGATGTGGAAGCCCGCCGAGGAGGTGGCGGAGTCCGGCGGAGAAGAGTCACCGGCGGCGCCGGAGCAGAGAGGGATAAGGGCGGTTTGGGAAGGAAAACTTTTGATCCGAAGTTTACAATAACACGGCGTCGTGGAAGGGTATACACCTGAACCGGCCCGTCTAGTTGCCAGTGGTAGCTTTAGAGCCAACGAATCAATTATTAGCCGAACGAATGGACACGGATCCATCGCAGTTCTTCTTCTTTTCTCTGTCTCTCTCTCTCTCTCTCTATATCTATATTCTTTTTTTCTCACTCTAGACTATAGTGTTGTAACAGACGTCGGAGAAACACATGAAAATGGTAGCCAATTAGAAAGAGTACTCGTCGAAGAAGCAATAGGTTAGGTTAAATTAAAAGGGTTTTGGAAACATCTATATTCCATGGACTGACTGAATGAATGAATGTCGGCTGAAAGCTATTTTTAACGCTTCACTTCTCGTCTCTCTCTACTTTCTCTCACTAGTTTCCCTCTCTGTTTGCCAATATGGAAATTGCCCTTTTCGCGGTAGACTCGCCACGAGAAAATACATGGAAATTCGTATATTTATTTATCCTCTCTACCATAGTATTACATATAAGAGTAATGTACATGCATCCATTATGAGAATGGAAAGTGACGATTATTTGGCGAGAAGTTAGGAGGGGATGCTAGGTGAGTCTATCTGAGGACGCGATCTAATGGGACCCACTTGGGTCCAGGACAGCTGGTGATGGCTGTCACCACGTTGTCATATATTTATAGGTATATATGTCACTTGTATACCCAGCTGTTGTTGGAGTGGAATTGGATTGTCTTTGGCTTAATTCCAGTTCCGTATATCAATCACAAAAATTCTGATGTGTCATTCTTAATGACGAGTCTGATCGCAGTCTTTGGACGGCTGTTTATTGACGGCGTTGTGTTTATGTTTTTTATTTTGTACACTTGTTTGTTATAGGTCTAAGCTGTATTTTGGAACGTTCACAAATTTTGAATCATTTTTTTTTTCAAAATTAAATTATAAAACTAATCTTAATAAATTAATAAATATCAGCTTCTATTCTTTTTTATTTAACCAAATAAAAAGAAGAGTGAATGACACAATAAATTTTCAATGAATATTTCATCCATCATTTTCTTCCCTCTTAACCGTTTAATTTTTTTTTTTCCACCAAACAAACTACAAAAATAAATAATAGATCAGAAGAGTGTAAATTACACTATTGATCACACAGATGTTTATTTCAATTAAAGTGGATGCATTCGGAGCATGTGAAATTCATTAGTGTTCCATCTAAGATGGACCATGGTTGTGATTAAATTGCAATTTACATTTCCATGTTTGTGAATTTAATTTTGAATAATGATGATTCTTAAACGCAAGGTCAGTGGGTCCCGTTTCAATTGAATGAGAATTATTTTTCGCTATCCAATTTCTGGCACTAACTTTTGTTGAGTGTATCATCCATCCTACTTTAATTTAATATCATTGCATCATATAATCAATATAATCCTTCACTAAAAAGACTTTTAGATTAATGATCAATAAATAATATTATATGTGCGAAGCATGACATAAGATATAAATCAAGCGGGCATTCCATCTTCAATTGTTGTGTGGGTCTGAACCACATCACGATGGTTGTTTCATTGATATCAAAAATACATATCGTCCACAATTAGTCAAAATATGACAATTTTCCCCCAATTTTTATTTTTATTTTTATTTTTTTTATTTTAGGGAGATTCTCGTAGTTTAGAGTTGGATAACAAGTGATAGGCTTATTCTATGTAGTAGTGAAGATTGATGGTATAGATGGGTACAAGCAAAGCAATAGTGTTGGCGATGCAATTGTCCGTTGATATGATCAAGATCCAATGTTTTGTGGTCCCATTAAGATATGGGTCACTTTTCTTTTGAAGGTTGTGTAATCAAATAAAATGACAAACCATCGGAGTGAGATTTGACATGTTAGAATCACTTTTAATTTGAAAACTCAGTTTTACTATATTTGAGAGGAGCCCATAACAAGGCTTCTGTCACTCACCGGAGAAATTTGTAGGTGGTGCAAAACTGTATAGTCCGGCTAATCAAGAAAATATATATATATATATATTCAGTTTTTGTTTATGTATTTACTCGGGAACATGTAATAATACTTGTTGAATGGCCTTTATATGAAAAATATATGAATTTTAGCCAAGAAATCTTTTTTTATGTAAGACCATAGATATTATTTCAATACATTCTCACAAACTATAGCCATAGTTTGTATGCATGAATGAAATGAAAATAAGAATAAAATAAAATGGTCATTGTTATTCTCTTACAAAGTATTTGTTAACAAAATAAAATAGTTAGTTCTTATTCTCTTGTTTGTTTACAAATATAAAAAGATGTACGAATGAAATGATTATCACAATTCTAAGTGATGGTGGTGAAAGGTGACATAAGTAGAATTGGTGAAAGGCGACGTTGTGGTGGAAGCTAGGAAGTGGTGGTGGCGGAAGGGCCGGCGGTGCTTGTGGTGGAAGGTGATGGCAATGGCAAAAGGTCGTGGTAGTGGCAAAAGCACCAGCGGTGGCCAAGAATTAATGAATGTGAGATGAATTTTCAAGAGAATGGTCATTTTCATTTTAAATATCATATCGAATAAGGGAATGAATAGAATAAAATACTCATTCCATTTCTGCACACTAAACTAGACCTAATATCTTTATAAAAAAGGTTGTAGCGAAAATTATATAAATGAAAATGGTATGCCCTCATCTTTTCATGTGGGAGATTGAAGCTTCAATGCTGTATGGGGCATAATGAATGTGTGAATTGAGTTCGGTGGTGTGTTCTTAGTTTCTTAACTTTCTTACTTACCAAATAAATAAATAATAAATCATGAAAAATTAGTATAAATAAAAGAGGACCTGTTCATTCTTTGTGACCCAACTTTCTTTAATATCATATTTACCATGTTATATATGTATATATATATCATAATTACCATCATATATATATTTTAGTCATTTAGATTCACATACCAGATATGTAATATCAAATGTAACGTGTTGTTCGAATAATAAAAAATCATGCCTTAAGGGCCTTCACCTTATATTTCTCGATTCAAATCTCCTTTCTCTAACCCCACTAACTCCCTATAACATCCCTGTTAACGTTACAAATTAAGAGCATATATAAAATATTTGTAATGTAAAAAATATTTGTACCTTTTCTGTGAAACCAAAATTGTCACAACCATTTGTGTCGCTACATGCCTATAAGGCGGGGACCAGTGGGGTTGGGTTTGCCGTGGGCTACAAATTAAAGTGGTGTTAGGGTAGCTATTTTCTTCTTCATGTTGGCCATTCAATACATGTGGATGATACAGACAAGCTGTATCAGAATGATAGAAGCATGGAGCTGGGTAAGGGGACAGGCCATTTAAGATGTTTGTGTATATATATTATGAGTGGTGTATCATCTTATTAATTCCACTTGGGTTGGGGTGGACCTCTACCACCTTCCCTTTTGATCAGTCCCCACCATCACCATCTAGTTATAACAGTACTAATCATCACCATTAATCAATAGCTCTGATTTTAATGCAAACAAAGCAAATTAAAGTGATGGTAGTTGAGCATGGTTTATGATCATTTTGGTTAACCACCACCACAGCACGCTGAATTATTATCAATTAGCTGCATCTTATCATGAAAATAACTAGTTTCCCCATAATATATACTATAATTATCTTGATGATAGTTCTTGCAATTGAAACTTTCATATTTGAATAGCTAAGGAGAGAATAAATAAGAAAAATGGTACACAAGCAAAACTCTCGTGCAAAGTCATTTTGGAGACAAATTATTAAGTGGTCACGCAAGCAAATATGTTAATTTTATTTAATTTCTTTCTTGTGTGGTGACTTGTGACTGTTCGAATCAAGCCATTTAATAATTTCTAGCAGAGGTGGCCATGAGATCATGAGAAAATTAGCACAAGTCAACTAGTTTGATAACACAATTCAAAATTTAAAGATTCATTAAAATAAAATATAAAAAAATTAAAAAAAAAAAAAAAGAATTTTTAACATCTAGAAACTATGCATTCTTGTCTATGTATTTATTTATAATTAGAGCGTGATAAGATATCATACTTGGAGCACCCCTGCGCATTGCCTTGATTCTTTCAAGCACACAGAAAATGACCTTTTGAAAGAGCTAAGCCCATGTTTCCACCGGCCCACAGTGCAGGAAAACTAAAACATGGATATTAGTCCAACCAAGTAATTGGAAGAGCCCATGACTCAAGGCCCAACTAGAAGGTAAGTACACAGGTTTATTCTGATACCGTCACGCACGTGCGAGGATGAGGGGGTTCGGGGTATGACGAAGCTTCTGGAGACTCGTGAGATTCGGTGTAAACGACCAATCTTCTCTTCCGTTTTATAGGACTCTTTCATGTATATCATATAAATGTTTGCTTTCTGGTTAAGTAATTGTTCTTCAAAACCAGACGATTAGAATGTACAGATCTTGAACTGGGTATTCGTTGAACTGAGCTTTTGGATCGACAATGTCTTCACCTGCACAGTAAGTACTTTAATTTATATTTCTCTTATGGTTAATATACATACATATTTGTGCATGTATATGCACCAATAGATTTATCTGTTAATCTATATTTCTCTTCTGTTTAATATTCATATATCTATGTCTGTATATAACTATGTATATGCATTCATAAATTTATCTGTATTTATACTGTAATCATTTATTAATAATGTATGATCTCGAAGTACTGTATCATACGGTTCTAACGCATTGAGATGAAGTTTCTTTGTGATAATTTGTGCTTCATTTGTTTGGTTTTTGATGTTCATTCCGTTCTTCCTTTGCATGATTGGTTTTTTGGCATTTGACCTGCTGATGGGGACATAAATCTGAGTAAAATTAGCTAGTTTATGCTTTTCTAATTAAATTAAAAGGGGTGTGACCTAAATGTGATCCTCGGAAATTCACTTATTGGGGTGCTTAATTTAGGGATATTCTGCCTTGTATGGGGTTATCTTTCACAATGGCTCATCTTATAGAATTCTTATTGAACTCTTAACAAAATTGAAACCCATGCACGGGCAATTCAAGCCTTATTAGATTTAGTTTGTGCCTTTGTGCATTCCACTCATGCATGAGGAGTGCAAGAATTGCCGCTATAATTTATAAACTTAGACTTGTGTATGGCATTGTATGTGCAAATAAACACGCACACACACATATAGAGAGTGTCAAGATGCTATGTTAAATGGACTCGGGTACGGGTGTCGAATACGGGTATGTGTCCATGCGTCGGACGTGTCAAATTTCCAAATAGAAGGATACACGGACACGGCTAAATATTCATTTTATTAATTATTTTATTTTATTTTATTTTCTAGAGTAAAGTAATGTTTTTATCTAATATAATGTTCAATATAGGCATTTAACTCATTTTAAAGTAATAATATAATATAATTGAATGATTGAATATGCCTTTTAAGTACATGTCCAACCAAAAGTGTCGAACACATATCTCATACCCATGTCCGAGGGATATGTGTCCGATACGGGTACTTCGCTACTTTTGAAGAGTCCACTAGCAATTCTAGCCTTATTAGATTTAGTTTGTGGCTTTGTGCATTCCACTCATGCATGAGGAGTGCAAGAATTGCCACTATAATTTATAAACTTAGACTTGTGTATGGCATTGTATGTATAAATAAACACACGTGCACACGCACACACACATATAGAGAGAGTGTCAAGATGAGAATTCGAACACACTCCCATGCATATTTCTCTTAAAAGATAAACTCTAAGACCCATATGATATGATTATACTTTTTTACTATGGAAAGTAACTCAAACACCCACTTTTGTCCCTAGCGGACTTAAATCCCCGAACTTTCATTATAAGAGGTAGAACTAAATAGCTGTTTTATATTGAAAGTTATGGCTCCGGAAGTCTTGCCTTCATAATTTTATTATTTAAAATTGGACCTAAGAGTTAGCTGTTTAAATATTTCATCCCTTTGTAAGTAGGGGCTCAATGCTGACTCTAATTTTTATTTACTATAATTTATTAATATATAGTTTGTATTATAGAAAAGCATTTATGACCATCTTCTTGACTTCTGTTCAGCATCCTTACCTTTATAGTTCTCTTTGCTCAGATTCTATAATTCGCTTCCACCTATAAGCAAAGCGTATGGGACCCTCTGTTTGTTGGCCACGACTGCATATCAAATTGGGCTATATCAACCTGCACATATTGCATTGATATATGAGCTAGTATTCTCACGTTTTCAGGTATGGACTTCATTGTCCATTATGAACCTTAATTGACTTTCAAGATGATTACTTTTATATCCAATATTATATTTGATGATGCAAGATTCCGTCTCGATCGAGAAAGACGTTGTAACCTGCAGGGAAGAGAAAACGTAATCGGAAAGGCACCGGTGCGGTACCGGCCCAAAAGTCTCCGCCGGTCGAGTTAGTATAAGACCAGGAAGATGAATGTACTCTGTTAGGGATTTTTTGTCGTAGCTTTGGAATTGGCTGACCCCCTTTTTATAGGGCAGGTTGTAGTATTTAATAAGGGAATTAATTTCCCTTTTCTAGTTCAATACAGATTAAAGAACTTATCTTTATCCACATTGCTTCATTAATTGTAGCTTATCCGACTTCTTGGCTTCTGTGTCTGTTAGAGTCCGTATTAGATTGTAGAGACCGTATCATCAGTTGTCCCCCATTCTCATGTTTGGATCTCAAACTAAGAGAATGTAAGTTGGTTTGGTTCCCTGAAAGGCTAGTAGAATAATCGTAAAGAAATATAAGCAATACTCCCTTTTTGACTTAATATTAATAATATTATTTTATATATTTACATTATATTCATTTTTATCTTATATAGTAATCACTAGCATATACATATATTACCAAAAGACAGAATGCGGGGCAGATAATGCCCTTTCGTGTGGAGAAGCGAATCGGACCTCCACAAACTCCGGGAAAGAAAATTTCAACTTTAGTTGGCCAAGGTCACTGGCGCCTAAACGCGAAGCTGCGTGTTGCGGTTTAATGGGACACACCTTGCCGGTGGAAGGATGGCGCTCAACGACCTCCCCGTAGGGGTGGGTTGAAGAAGCCATGGGGGACAAGGAAGGAGTGTAAGTGGTAAAATAAAGCGATAGGAAAGAAAAGAGGTAGTTTTGCACTGGTTGAAATAGCCAGGCACTCTCTAGTGCGACTTAAATAGACAGGGAAGAGTTTAGTCTACTGCAACGGTTATAAAAGTAACCATTGGAAAATGGGCTCTTGCAATTTGAAATTGAGAATACGAGGCCCACGCCTCTAGTTGCCTACTCCTCGTAAGCCAAGGGGGTCCTTACCTCTTGAGAGCAAGGGAGACTCTTGCTTGCAGCCTCTTGTCTTGTGGAAATTAATCTATCGCAAGAGGGGGCCCCGCTTTGACAAATCAACAGAAGACAAGCAAACCACAAACATGTGGCCACAATACAAGACCTACCTTTGACAAGGGGGTCCCCTGCTTTATTCGGTACATATGGCCACAATACAAGACCTACCTTTGACAATTGAAGTTGAAATTTTCTTTCCTAGAGTCTGTGGAGGGCCGACGCTCTTCTCCACAAGAAAGGGCATTCTCTACCCCGCATTCTTTGTCTTTTGGTGATGTATTACATCATTGTGCATATGTATGTGCTAATGATTACTATATAAGATAAAAATGAATATAATATAAATATATAAAATAATATTATTAATATTACTTCAAAAAGGGAGTATTGCTTATATTTTTTTACGATTATTATACTTTCCTTTCAGGGAACCAAACCAACTTACATTCTCTTAGTTTGAGATCCAAACATGAGAATGGCGGTCGACTGATGATACAGTCTCTACAATCTAGCACAGACTCTAACAGATACGAAAGCCAAGAAGTTGGATAAGCTACAATTAATGAAGCGATGTGGATAAAGATAAGTTCTTCAATCCGTATTGAACTAGAAAATGGAAATTAATTCCGTTGTTAAATACTACAATTTGCCCTATAAAAAGTGGGGTCAGCCAATTCCAAAGGTACAACAAAAAATCCCTAACAGAGTCCATTCATCTTCCTAGTCTTGTACTAACTTAGCTGTCAAAGACTCTTGGACCGGTACCGCACCAGTGCCTTTCCGATCACATTTTCTCTGCCCTGTAGGTTTCAACGTCGAGACGGAATCTTGCATCATCAATATTCATTCTAAATTTGATGACAATAATCTAAGATTTTTTTATTAAAAAAAAAAAAAAAAATCTTAATTTAATGCCTTCCATTATAATAATGGATGTGAACACATCTAAGGAGTAGCTCCTCATTTTTATTTTCTCCTCTCCTGAATGCTTTACCAGTGCAAGGAAGGGTGTACATTGTAGGAACGATGTGGTTAAACCACTACCTTTGTAATCCAGCCCTGTTACTTGTAGGAGGTGCTGCTACAAAGCCTACAATTCAACCGATTCCTGTCAATCCTGTTATTTCTCAATGCAGTTTGTAGATTTTATGTATAGAAGGGCAGTTGGTGATGGGATTTTTCTGATAAAAGATGATTGAACTTGACCTAAATCTTGAATGTTCCATTACTTGCTAAATAAACCTTTTCTGCCATCGGTCGTGGCCAAAAAGGAGAAGCATTTATAATACATTCTAATCATTTGAGCCAGTTTTTGCTTTTGACATTTTCACTCCCTGAGACGTGCTGTCATTCATGACGCTTAGAATTTCTTGGAGGATCAAGATGATTCTTACCCCCGGTCTAATGACTTGATGTGATTTCTAGACATCCCAATTTCGTTTTAGCTAGAAGCATATTATATTGAAATTAGAAAAATAAGTAGACTAACGAAAAACTGTTGCTTCATTACCCAAACAGTTTTTCTAAGGCAAATGATGGCCTTTAGACAGCACGGGCAACTCGGCTGGTAAGGCCTTTGGAGTCCCTCACAATAGGTCACTAGTTCGAGTCTCACCAAAGGTTAGGCCTGTGTTTGAATGATGCATATGGTTTGCGGGCGATTACTTGCATTCGGAGTTTGCAAATCATCCAAGAGTCCAAAGTGGCTAGCAGGTGGTTGATTCTTCTTTACGAAAATAAAAAATAAAATAATTTTAAAATGATTGCCTTTCAATTTTCTACCCATTCTATACTTACTCCTGATAATGAGTCACACTTTCCTAGAGGTTTTCAGTTCTAGACAATCCTCTACTTCCGATATTAGATGAACCTCGTAAATCTGGAAATTATGTTAATTTTGTTGTATCCATAACCTAAGCTTCCTTTGTTCTTTCTTTCTTTTCTTTTTTTTTTCTTTTTTTTTTTTTTGGTTCTTCTGCAGGCCATTAGGAATATATCCGATAAAAATTATACATTTTAAACATCAATATCTCTCTTTTCCTCTGTGTGTGTGTGTTTGTGTGCGTGTGATATGCAGAACCTGATTGGAAAATGATTTTATAGACGCTGCCTTAGAAGTTTGGTCTTTGAGTTTAATCCTTAATTTTTTTTATTTTATTACTATTATTTTTCTTGTTTATTTTTTGGCATTTCTCAACATGCTACTTTCTTTTCATTTAACTTTAGATCTTTTTGGTAACTTCTCGTTCATTTTTAGGTGTGGAGGCTGATAACAAACTTCTTTTTCCTTGGCAAATTCTCTATCAATTTTGGGATTCGACTGTTAATGATGTAAGTCTTTGTTATAACTTATAAACTTCCGATCAATCCCACCAATATGTTCAGTCAAACTGTGTATGACACACTCCATGCTTTCAAAAATGGCCATTACGTAGTTTTGGTGCCACACATATGGAGTAGAGTGTTGGAAGAAAAAGACCGAAGAGAAACCTAACATTTCAGATTATTTTTGTACAAAGTGGCTGCTGTTAAACCAAACCTGCGTCTCTCACTTGTTTGCCCATTGCAGAAACTATGGGATCAGTTGTGAACTGCAACAAGAAATTAAGTTTTTAATGCACTAACACTCTTAAGTTATTGCTTCTTGATGTTACAGAGCAAGATATGGAGTCCAACTGGAAAATGGTCCATTTGAAAGGCGTACGGCAGATTTCTTATGGATGGTGATATTTGGAGCCCTGTCATTATTGGTGCGTGAGTTCATCTTTTTGTTCTTCAGCTTTGTAGTATGTTGCTCCTGAGTGATCTTATTTGTTCAAGAGAGTAACGGAAAATGCATTTTGTAGTATAGCAGCTGAAGCTCATATGGATGTGAGGACTTTCCAATAGTTATTCATCTAGCATTGGAGAAGTTTATCTTGCTTTCACCTTTTCTTTTTTCCCCATTTCTGGCAAATCTTCTTTTAATATATAATTTAGCTTATGTTGAGCTTGAGCCTGTCCAGTGTTTCTCAATATGGAAACGTGCTACTCACACGTCGTTTGACTGCATAATCAAATGCAAGTGTTAACATCTGTCTTTTGTTTTTATCTTCACTTGCATGTGTAGGTATTATCTGCTATCCCCTTGTTATGGTCCCCCTTCTTAGGGATATCACTGGTTTTCATGCTTCTCTATGTCTGGAGTAGAGAATTCCCAAATGCCAATATCAACATATATGGCCTTGTGACCCTTAAGGTATGTTATTTCAATTGTTTGTTTTCAAAAAGTCATAAATTAGATTTAACTGGCTTGCTACACCTTTATGAGCTCTGGCTCTTTGTTTCCCAATGATTGTTTCACACTACATGGCATATTTTCTAATGCAGGCTTTTTATTTGCCATGGGCTATGCTTGCTTTGGATGTTATTTTTGGTTCACCTCTTCTGCCAGATTTGTTGGGAATCATAGCAGGACATCTGTATTACTTCTTAACTGTATTGCACCCTCTTGCTGGTGGAAAGAACATGTTAAAGACTCCAATGTGGGTGTATCCTTTTGCTTGGTTCCTCGTTATGAAAAGGGTATATAGCTGCTTAGAGTATGTTTACCTTCTGTGCTTAGGATGCATTGCTCTCTCTCTTACACACACACACACACACACTCCCCACAAACATCTCATTTTGCTCTCTGCTCGCCTTTAGCTGCTGCGCTGGGAGATTGTTACAATTGAGTGTTTAAGCTTTGAATCCTAATTAGGTCAGGTTTGGGGTCAGTCAGTTCACTGGAGGATCACCTTTCATTTGAAAGTACTTCCCCATGGTCTATGTCACTCGGTAGTCGGTAGGAGTCCTTGTTTCATTTGGAACATGGAATTGTGGTCCTACTTTCTCTTTCGTATTTTTAATCTTCTCCTCGCACATGCTGCTGCAGAAATTGGCGTCTATGCAGGTCTTACATGATTTGATTATTTTCATTCATCTTTCCATTTATCTTTACACACACTCACACGGCACACACTTACATATAAACATTTCTTGAAAGTACGCAATTCATCTGTAACTGATGATTTCAGTAAAGTAATTGTTTCGACCAATTTTCTTAACTGCTACTTCATAGGCATAAATTAGTTTCAAGGTTGACAATTGGAGCTCCAACAAATAGTCATGCCCAGCCTGAAAGGACGACTGGCGTGGCTTTCAGAGGGAGTACCCAGCCTGAAGGGGCAACTGGCGTCGCTTTCAGAGGGAGGTCTTATCGACTTAGCGGATGATGCTGCTCTTTAATCATGCTGTTACAAGAATGGAACATTTTGTTACTACAAATTTCTGAGCATGTTTTCCAGTCAACACCACTAACAAAGGAACTCTTGGACGATGACCTAGCAGGAGAGATCTCACTAATGGTTACACTGACAGAAATTTCTTTTTCCATGGGCTACACACGAATAACTGATGTATACTTTTGTCGAGATACTGTAGATGGATGTGTTCACATTTTCATGCAATTTTTTCATTTTTTTTTTTTTTCTTTTCCTTTTCAATGTATGTGATAGATTGGAATCACAGCTTGGAAGTGACTTAGGCCTCTGGTGGAACTTTTTAGTATGAACTGGGGCTTAGCACGACTAGATGACTTAGCCTGTAAACTACCACAATCCTTACTTTTTTTTACCCTTCTATACATTGAAGAGCTTTTACTGGAATGTGAAACATTACAATAACATATTCGTCTGGTTTGTTTAGTTTTACGGTTTTACCACTTGGGAATGAATTATTTGTCATATTTTCTTCTCTGAGTAACAAATGTCAATTCTCACGCTACACCAATAATAATGAGTAATGATTTTCCTATTACAATAAATAAACAGGTTAAAGTGCAAAAAAATTTCCTGAATTATGTCTAAATTTGCAAATAGCCATCCTGAACTATACTTTGTGCATAAAAAATCCTAAATTATCACATTTAGATGTAAAATGTAAAATGTCTCATTGTCTTACTTATTTTTCATTAAATGATCATAATACTCTTTCTTATTGAATTACACTTGATATATTTTTCTTGATAAAATAAATTATGAAAAATATTCATACTAATTTGATGAAATATTCTCCATTAAATTTGTATAAGTTTGTCTTCTTCTTTTTTTTCCTAATTGGGTATTCACACACACTGTCTCCACTGAGGTTCGAACCCTAACCTCCCTTTGGAAAGTAGGAACTTTATATCGCTAGGCCATAGGCCTGTTGGTGTTTGTCTTTAATTTTTTTAATTAATTGTTTCCACAATCCTTACTTTTTTTACCCTTCTATATATTGAGGAGCTTTTACTGGAATGTGAAACATTACAATAACATATTTGTCTGGTTTGTTTAGTTTTACGGTTTACGACTTGGGATTGAATTATTTGTCATATTTTCTTTTCTCTGAGTAACAAATGAATTATTTGTCATAATGAGTAATGATTTTCCTATTACAATAAATAATAGGGTAAAGTGCAAAAAATTCCCCTGAATTATGTCTAAATTTGTAAATAACCCTTATGAACTATGTTTTGTGCATAAAACCCTCTAAACTATCACATTTTGTTGCAAAATGCCCTATTGTCTTACTTATTTTTCATTAAATGACCATAATACCCTTTCTTATTGAATTACACTTGATATATTTTTCTTGTTAAAATAAATTATGAAAAATATTCATACTAATTTGATGAAATATTCTCCATTAAATTTGCATAAGTTTGTCTTTAATTTTTTTAATTAATCATTTAAATAAAAATCTTAAATAGAAAATTTTGAAACAATTTAAGTAATTCTTAATTTTCATGAATATATTGCATTAAAAAGAAGATATTTTTTATTTACGTAAATAATTAATTTTTCATGAATAATGTTTGAAAAAGAAGATATTTTTTTATACTAAATTCTTTTAAAGTGTATAATAAGTTTTAGGAATAATTTCACTGACACCCCCTGAAGTTTGGCCAAATATCAGTCTAAAATATCTTTCGAAAATAACTATCACTTAGGTCCATTTTCGCTTTTCCGTCACAGTCTCAGTTAAAAACATGTGAAAAGACAACTTTGCCCCTATTTTTTTAATAACATATATTTCAAAATATCAGATTAGTTAAAAGACAATTATACCCCTGACAATGAATGAATGGGTAGATGGTGCTGTTGGCCATCGTGGTGGTGGTGGGTGGTGGTTCCAAAAGTTGAGTGTTGCATAAGAGAAAGGGAAAGTGTAAAGAAAGATTGGTGGTTGGTGGTTGGTGATCGGCGATGATGGGGGTGGTGGTGGTGGTGCCGCCGGCGACTATGGTTGCATAACCCAAACCCATTTTTGTTGTGTCAGAGAAAATGATATATTTTCCAAATTTGGAATAACCAAAACAAAATTTTGATTAGAAGTGCCTCCAATCCAGTCCCCAAACACTATAATTGATTATTCTGTTTTCATATTGGTGTGTGTGATAGAGAGAGAAAGAAATGAAGATGAATTAGAGGTTTTGCACCAAACACGCAGATCCACTAATAAAACCACAAAATTGATCACAAATTAACCAAGCCACACAAAACCACGGCGGCGATCTGTGACCTTCCACTTCCAATTCCAGCGACGGCGAAGAGAAGGGACCGGACAACGGCGACGATGAGTAAACTATTCGGTGAGGACCAGCCAATCCACAACCATCCTCTCCACCGTCGGCCACCATCATCCAAAGCTAAGCTCGCAGCCGTTAAATCCCGCCGGTCGCCATCAAACCCAATCACGGCCCATCACCGGAATCGCGACTTTTTTAGTCGCTGATTCAATGCCGTCCCGAACTAGCCATCTCCACCGGCCGAGTACACTGCCATCAATGTTCCGAGCACCGCCGCAAGCTCACCGCCGCCTTCTTCACAGCCGACACCATCAAACCATGGCAAATACAAGCTCAGCACCCCATCGCTAGAATTGCGCCACACGCGCCGATCAACATCTTCTTGAGGAGAGCAGTCGAGGCGTGTTGGAGGTCTTCTTTACGGCGATCGACGGCGATTGGTGGTGGTGTTGTGCTTATATGTGTGTGTGTGTGTATATATATATATATATGTCTCTGTGTGTATATATAGGAATATATATATATATATGTGTGTGTGTGTGTGTGTGTCTGTGTGTGTATATAGGACATATATATATATATATATATATATGTACCGATCAGCGGGAGGAATCGAGATCAGGCGAAGCCGGACAATGGCATATTCCGATAACAGCGTATATAACATAATTTGTAGATTTACAAATTTTTAAGGGGCCATATTGTCTTTTAATACTGATATTTTGTAAAAAAATAAATTAAAAAAATGAGGGTAGACCAAAGTCAAGGGTCAAACCAAAGTCAAAGAGTAAAAATGTCTTTTTATATGTAAAAGTGTTCTGACATGCCTGCAAACTAACTTTTGGGGTGTGAGTGAAAAACGGAACAAACGTTTGTAACGTGAGTGATAGTTATTTTCGAAAGATATTTTAAACTGATATTTGGCCAAATTAGTGGGGGTGTCACTGAAATTATCCCTAAGTTTTATTGTAATAAGTTAATCATTTTAGAAAATGATAGCTACAAATTTATTCATTTTTTTTCATTTTTATAATCCATTGATACTAATTATAAAATGAAGGTAAATGGTATAATTAATATTTAAATAAGATAAAATATAATAAAAAATAATTTAATAACAAATAACAAATTTAATAATAAAGGGTAAAATAGTGTAATACCCCTAATTTTAAAAGGATAGTTCTGGAATTTATTTAAATGTTTAATTGTGTTTTTAGTTTATTTAGTTGGTTATTTGTAGTTGTTGTGTTTGTTTTTTTTATTTAAATTGTTATTTAGTTAAATTTTTGTTTTGCTTTAATTGCTTAAATTGATTATTTGTTTTATTTTAAATTGTTTTATTTTAAATTGGTTGTTTATGTTAGTTAGTATTTATTTGAATTAAGTTAAATGTTTTATTTATTAAATTAGAGTTTTATCAGTTTAGGAAAACCACGTATTTAGCCGACTTATTTTTTTTTCTGTCTAGTAATAGGATTACGGTTTAATTGCACCTAGGTTTAGTTGGCCTATATATATATCTGTATAAGACTGCCAAGGGTTTAGAACCCTAACCACACGTATTGGAGGCAGAAGTATCAGGTGAGTTGGGAGAAGGTAGTTCGCCGGAAAACTTAGAAGAAAGACGTTGAGATTTTTGAACCGAATCTTACAGGCAAGTTTTATTACTAACTCTATCTCTTTGGCCTGTGTTCTTTGCATCTCTAATTCAGTTCCAGGAAGAAATAAAGCTAAATTAATTTGGTTGTAATTATTTGTTTCAAACAATATGGGTTCTTGTATGTATTTTCCGTTCGTGATGAAACTGTTTGTGCTTGTTCTTGTTTTAATTGAATTTGATTAACAAGTAATGAACTTAAACAACTTTAGAGCCCTTTGGGACTTAGTTTTAATCCATAGGAAACGTGGGTTGGAGGAACAAAGTTGCCGGAGTTGGAGAAGAAGTTGAACAGAATGTTTTCTTTTAGGTACATGTTAAGCGTTTTTAAATTATTCTATTTAATTCTTGTTCCCACTGAGTGTGATTATTAATCAAGGAAGTTAATTAACTTTTGAACACCCCAGGACTTAATTTTAATCAGCAAGAAATTTGGTTTGGAGGATCAACACAGCCGGACACCGCCGGGATTGGAAAAACGACGCACAGGGGAAGGAGCCTGTTCTATTTCAAGTAGAGCAGGCTCAATTAAAAAGTGGAGCAGGCTCTACTTGGTAGTAGAGCCGGCTCTACTTGGTAGTGGAGGCGGCTCCACTTTGTGTGGAGCCGGCTCCTTCAATAGGTTTCAGTTCTTTGCCTTTTCAGTGATGGTTTTGGCTACGGGTTTCAAAATTTGGTGTTTTCAGATGCTATTAGGAGTTATGCAGGGATGTTTCGGTAGCATCTAAGTCCTATTAGAAATTCTGAAGGTGTGATGATACATAATAAATTACAAAGAAATCGGTAGATTTAAACCGTTATAGTTTCAGGTGAACTTGTGGACTGTTCTTGGAGGCAGAGGATTTTAAGTGCATAACCCTATGAGTTGCAATTTATCTAGGAATGGTAATATTGTTAAATCATTTTTCTGTAATTTAAGTTAAGTTTATTAGATTACAGAATGATTATATATATTCATAAGTGACAGTAAGACACTTTTAAGGTAGTTTACATTGTTGAAATTTTGTAAATGATTCAAGTTAATTAATTTTAAATGAGCAACTGAATTAGGAGTTTGATATGTAAATCATATATCAGTGGTATGGGGATTAAGCCTATTAACTAATATAAATTCAGTTAATACTTAATAAGAAACCAGTTAATGTTATCAAGAATTTATTTATGTCAACTTGTGGGATGTTGTGGAATAATTACAAGTAAGCATGTATATACTATTGTTATTATTATTATGCTTATTGTGAGTTACAGGATGGTTATATTTCT